AATATATATATATATATATATATATATATATAATATTCAATTATAGTACGTTGTATTTCATATTAACTCTACATTACTCGCGTAAAAATCATTATAAAGTTACTTATAAATCGAAAACTTTTGGTAGTCATTAATATATACACATTCATACACGTCAAGCAACATTATATGATAATTTTCATAGGTATGATTCACCTATAATTAAATATTAGTTCCTGTCGCTATTGCTCTATAATGACTTTCTTTTGTTCCTTATGATTTCTCCCCTGTTCTCTGCTATCAGCAGCATCTCATTTATGACGTTATCCAACAATTGCGCAAAGATTTTCTTTTTTCTAAATATTATACTTCGCGATTCTTCGTTCGTCCAGTATAATGCAACGTGTGAACATGTACATGGTCACGTATATATATGTATAGTCACGGCTTCGATAACCCGAGAATGTCTGTCTATATATATAAGTGCAGAGAAACGACGTGGCGTGACAGACCGTTAACAGCGCTAGGTGCAATATTGCCGATCGCCGGTGCACGTGAAATAAGACAATATCTGCTTGTATACGACGTGATCTAACCGGATCTTTGCGCACTTACGCGGAGGAAAAAGCGGCTCCACTTTCCCATCTAGTCTGCTATTGACCGGCGGAGATCCAGAGTTTGAACAGACCTCGGACGAAAATGGACGGGAAAATCTGTTACGTCATATTGATTATTTCATTGTGGGCCAGGTTAGTTCTTCTCGTTAGAAATAGTCAATTATTCTTTCTTATTTATTCAACAAAAGCTGTGTTCCAAATTTATCGCCAACACTGAAAATTTATACTTTACGTTATGTGCATAAATTTTTAACACTGTGACAGTGAATTTGAGAATAAAACCGAAGATACCGGATGTGCAATCAAGACTGATCTGTCTCGTAAATTAAGCAGACTGATCAAACAAGCACTAGGGTAAACACGGTATATACGCCGCACCTATCGAAAACTTAATTTATCAATTATTATTTACTATGTTTAAAGTAAATTAATTATATAAATAGAATCTTTGTATCATCTACTACTGTAAAAAAAATATTAGAAATCTAAAATAATTTATTTTCCATATTAAAAAGTAACTTTTTCAAACCCCTGCATTTTTGCCATTTATCCCATGGGGGGGAATAATATGGCCACTCATATATAATTCATAAGAAAATCACAAATAATCTATAAATAAGATGTAAAATGACGACGTAACTTGCATTGTTTATTAATATATGACAATTTTTATTGTTCAAAATGAAAAATGGAATACAAATAGGACTTAACACAATTTTTTAAAATAGCTTCAAATCTTTGAAAATAATCTTTAAACGTTTAAGATTTATCAACATTTATGCATTAATGCAATGTATAATTGTTAGAATTAACAAAAACTTCTTAAATAGAGCGTCTGTGCTGCGGCACAGCATCCCGCTCGCTAAAAATGCCGTATATCCCAAATAGATGGGATATATATGACAACTAATTAAACAAACAATACAGGAGCAAAGCACTTGTATTTTGCTATACAACATGCTTTACTATTCCTCTACACATATGTATTGCAAAATAACCACTAAGTCTTTTACACGCTCTATAATAATCATTTTATGTAGATTATAAATTATGATGGCACTACTTATTACAGTAAAAAATCGATTTAACTCGCAATAATTTCATTAATATTAACAGTGAAGAACTGAAATCATAACATAATACTAATATACCATAAAGGCATGTAACAAAGTAATTGACGGAAACTTATCCCCACTCCTTCTATTTTTTCTGACTTCTGCGGCGTATTTGCTGACGCGGCGTATATACCGGGTTTACCCTAATATAAATACGAACGAACAACTTATATCGCGAAACGCATTAAAGTAAATTGTTTGCGAACTTATCTACTTGGTCTGAATTCAGTTTTAAACGATAATTATAAATTGTCAAACTATTTCCTGAATACATCTCGTATTTAGTATCTGCGCCAATGATAACAGAATTTAATTATATAGTTACGTTCGTATTTATTCATGGTCAGCGTATATGAATCATCGCCGCGTTTTACAAATGTGCGAACTATACTTGCCACAATTGCAAATACGTGTCTAGGTTCCTAACAGTTCCTATTATAATTTTTTTATTTTACAGTGTACATCTGGGAATGACTGCCCCTAATTGGTCGAAAGATTTAAGTGAAAGTTTGGAGTCATTGAATCATAATCTCCATGAATATATAACTAAACTAACCCAAGATATGAATGAAAATATACAGAATGTACTGGCAGAAGTCAATAAAACAATTGAGAATCTATCAACAGGTAATCAATTACAGAATATTTTATATTTTATAATATTTACTAATTTTTTTTATTATGATAAAATTTACTCGTTCTGTTCTTCCTTTGTAATTAAGAGTAATGAGAAAGTATCCTTTACTACATACTCATGGATTATTACTGCGCTACTGCGCTATGAATTTTTCAATGATCGATTTTACTATTTTAATTAATTGATTTGCAACATTATAATAAGAGGAAGAAAGCGAGAATGCCACTATGAAGCAATATTTTGTATAATTGGCTCTTAGCACTTCAATTATTCTATTTTGTTTTATACTTATAGAGCCTTATTATTATTTATAATATTTACTAATGTTTATTTAATTTAAGAACTGCATCAATATGTAATAAATAATTATACACTTAATAATAATTGAATTTTTATATATTTTTAATTTAAGTGAATATAGGGGTAATCAAAATGTTCAAAAAATTTTAAAAATAAACATTTAAATCTTCGTCTTATTTATATATATTATATATATATTTTTATGCAACTAATAAATCTAAAGAATATAATAGAAATCATAGCAATAAATTTATGCATACACCGAAATCATAAAATTAAATAGATGAATTTTTCATTTTATATTTATGGTATACTTGTTTAATCGTTGATACTTTTGAGCTTAATTTAATATCATTAATACGTATAATTTTATCTAATATATATTATTTTAAACTATCTAAATCAATATACACTATTTGAATAGTTATTTTCTCTCATTTTACATTCGGAAAATCTCGGAGCATCGATCTCGTAATATAATGTGTAAAAATTAATTTTCTTAAGTTGCCCCTCACACTCTCGAGAAAGTGAGAGGTCTCAATACATTTGCATAGTAGTTTGCGCTTAAAGGTATTCTTTATCGTTATAAAAGATAGAGAAACGGAGATTCCAAAATCGCATCTTGTTCGCCGCGTATAGTCGATCCTTTCACTATCGGCCGTGATACGGAGCAGATACTTAGCATTCTCTATAGTCTCAAGGCGGCTGGTATTGTTTTTCCGTTCATTCGACCCGTTAATTCGTTACTGACGTTTAATTTCGCGTAACGCGTATCTATGCAATTAGCACATAGCTATGAGCGTATCCAATCAAATAACGTTATCGGCGATTAGTATCGATAAAAATTTAATCGCCGTAATACCTGCTTGAAATCGATCGGTCCGACAATTGATGACATTGTAATTTAAAAGCAATTAGTCCAGAATTATACAGGGTGTCGTAAAGCTGCACTGTTGACACAACAAAATTCTATTGTAATATTACGCTACTGCTGATAATTTAACTAAATTACAATTTGTAAAATAATGTCTCCTTTTCCTAAATAAAAAATATCAAATTTCTTCCAATGATTACATATTGATTGATGGATCACGCGCTGATTGTATAATCAAACGTAAAGCAAACGTAAATGAAAGAGAAGATAAAACTTAGGCATCAAAATTTTTTTACAGAAGAACACCAAGTAATAACAAGTGGCGGCGCCAACGGCCTAATTGTCCAGCCTGTAAATGGTGTGACAAAGATAATTATGAGCTATAGGACACCAGATGGAAAACAACACTACACTGTTGTTGAAGAACTAATCGATGGAAAATATCGGTATCACGACGAAACTGTTTACAATCCAAATACTAACACTACCGAAAAGATTCGCTGGAAAGAAAACCTCTCAACTGGTCATCGTGAATATCTCTCGAATGAGAAATAAAACAATGTTTTTATTTTCAAGTTCTATTTTATAATATACCTACAATTTACTTTACTTGACTCTTTATTGCACAAATTTTTCTGTTGAACGTATTTGGCTGAATTTTAGTATACGGACATTTTTGGAGTTGCTGATTACAAATCTTAAGGGGTAATGGCACCTTGTGTGCCGAAAAAGTAGGGTCATTTTTCGGAATTTATTATGAAAGAATGAAAAGATTTATTAAAAAGCGGCTTGGTGCATATAAAAGTACATATCTTTAACTACATAAAAAAATTTTTTTCAGATTTTTTAAAAACAAAATGGCGGCGTATCAGCTTTCGCAGTAGGGCACTTGACTTTCCGCTGACCGCATCGGGCGTACCGCTACAGGTCGCAATTTTGCACCTAGAATAAAAACCAACATTTTTTCTTAAAATATAGCCCAAAATCTAGTGCACATCGTAGGATTTTGCCGAAAAATTGTTTTCAAAAGAAATGGCATCAATTTGTATTTTTGTTGTATTTTTTATCAAAAAAATCGCTCGAAAGTTGGCTGTAGAATCGTCAAATTTTAATTTTTAGAAAAAATTCTACGATGTACACTAGAAAAACATGTTTTGAAGCTACAGTTAAAATTTCAAGTCAATCGGATAAAAATTGTAGACGCTAGAGGTACGCCCGTCTTGAAAAACATGGTTTCGAGAAAAACGCGTTTAAAGTTTAAAGTAGTAGAATTTCAATGAAATTTGTATTTTACCTTTAATCTGCGATGCCTGCTCCATACAACTGGCCTTCCAAATGAAGATTGTCTTCGTCTTCATAATAGATACAACCGATATATAAAAGAATATAGATCACAACTGTACCGATCTCGAGTGCACTGAAAATACCTACAATTCGGCTCTACGACTATGCTCGGAAAATCGAGTTTCGAACCCTTTACATTATTTCCCCCCCTATAATCATGTTTGCATATCATTCTTGGATAGTTTAGGGAGTGTTTAAGTCAATAAAAAAAAATTGGAAAAAAAAATTTACAAGGTGCCATTACCCCTTAATCATGTCTGATCACAAATCTGAACGTCATATAAACATACGTTACATAATTTGCTGAAATGACTGGAATTTAGTCAAAACGTCCGAAAAGGAAATAATATTGTATTGCTTTATATGTATAATTATTGAATATATAATGTTAGCACATCATTAACCGTACAGTTTTACTCTTGCCTGTTTATTTGATTATTTTTTAGTTTTAATCTCAAAAGTACCTACTGTCATACTTATATATAATTTACACAGGCTGAAACATTATGCATCAATTACAATATATTAGTTTTAATTATTGTAAAATTTTTGACATTTTAAGTCAAAATTTAAAAAATCAAAATGATATATTCGATATGGCAGTTAAATTGTAAAGAATTAACTATGGCTTATGCGTGTAAAATTTTTTGCATAAGATTATTAAAACATTATAAAGAATATTACAAATATTAAGTACATAAAAAATAAGAATATTAAGAATTTATGTTCCATTAATACCCGAAATCAACATGCCTTAATAGTAGTCACATTGATCTCCATTTTGAATCTGCTATTTATGAAAATTTACTAATTATGAGTGAAATCAGTGATATCGAAAACATTAATATAGAAATTTTAAATTATATTATTACTTTTTTATTCCAGCATTTCTTATTCAAAAAAATGCTAATTTTGATTGATTTTTATTTCTAACTTATATTTACTGCAAAATAATTACATATTTCTGTAATTCATGTATACATACACGTCTTATGAATATGACAAAATATAATATAAATCAGTTATCAAATATATAAAAATTAAAAATATACAAAAACTGGGGCGAAAAAAGTATATTTTCTTCAGACACACTATACAACAAAAAGTTAAAACTTTGTATAAATTAAACTAATTTGTTTATAACACTAATTAGAGAAGAAAAGAGAATAAAGCTATCAAGTTTTTGTAAACAACAAAATAAATAGTAAAAGAAATTATGAATTATGAAAAGCAGTATACTATTGAATACTTATTTATATTAGAATTTTATGCAATGTCAGAAAAATATGTTTTTCTCAATGTGGTGTTAAAAAGATCAATAACGCAGCGAAATATGTTTGATAAGCACTTTTGCTTGCTTCTCAGAATATCGTTATCTGTCGGAGAACGCAAACCGATCGTAAAGTGCGACAGTAAAATTGTGAGTTATGCGGTGGGGAAAGTCACACAATTATTAAGTTGAGCAAAACGACGGAAAAAACACAGTTAATTTTTTATTATGAATTTATAAAAGGGCGTTTGAAATAACAAATTAAAACATGTGATAATGTGACGTTAGTAGCTTTGTGGTATCAATATCAATACCTGTTCCTTACGGTTTCTTACTATGTATGTTCAGCTGAATAAGCACTTGTTACGACAAAGAAAATTCTGTCACTTGTGTACTTGGTGACAATACGAATAAAGCCCTTCATCGTTAAAAACTCTTAAACGTTTTTATGTGCTTCTCAATAAAATTGATTATCTATTACTTAATAAAATTGCTTTTATTGTCAGTATACCATTCTATTATTTCTTTTATTATTTCTTTCAAAACAGAGAAATTTAGTTCTATAAAAAAAACATTCTTAGCATAGAGAATAACTAGAAATTATACTTAAATTACATTAATTGCAACCATTTTTTTTCAGTGCGTACAATATTAAAAAGTTAAAATCAAAAGTTACAAATACCATGTAAAACTGCGATATAAATTTCCGTTCTTTTTATTATCTGTATTTAGAGTTTTATGCTAAAAGGGATATTTAATAAACGATTAAACGCTATTATGACAGTAGTTTACGTGACAGTGATATAACTGAATACTTTCACGCATTTTTCATATACGCATTTCTATGAAAGCGCTATAAATGCTGAAGGATGGCCTTGTTGTGTATTTTTTAATATACAGGAAACCTATCATTTAACCTTAATAAAATACGAAGTACCGAGAAGAACGGTCGTTTCAATTGAGAAAGGCGAAGAAAAGCGATGAATAAAAAAACGGGCATAAATTTGCACGAGAAAGAGGTTTGACCAATAAAGAATCATTTGTCACGATATATGACTACGAAATTTTCAGAGGAGGATATGGGTGGGGTACCGCATTCGCGTTTCGACGCACATACATACATACACATATATATTTTCATGCAATGGCGTCGAAGCTGTATCTGACAATAAAAATGTCGTTGCCTAACCCATAATTATATTTGTGCCATTATCTGTAAAAATATATTATGTGTATATATATCATGTTTATGTTTTTGATATGTCTGTAATTGCTTGGCGAGAATGTGCTTTATTTTGGCTTAACTGCGACATTCATTAACATATTTATAGAATTTTTAACGTGCTCGTAAACGTCACTAAAAGCTGCAAAAACGCCGCATTATTTCCCTTCGCGTTCCGTCATAAAGTAACACTCATCGCGACGCCATTTTCACGATTTTATTTTCATGTAAATGAATTTAGTACTAAAATGCATTTCCTAAACCCTAGGCCTAGACGAATACAAAAATGCATGAATCGCGAGGAATTAGAAGCAAAGAATTGCTAACAAGAAACAAAATGAAAGATAGTACGCAGAAAAATGTACATATATATTTTAAAGAGAAGTTTTCACTCGTAAATATTGAATTACTCGAACATACGAATAAAAACGAAGTTGCGCAGCGGTTTATACAATCGTCTCGTGCTTTCTTCCTATTTCCTTTCCTTTTGCCATTCATCTCTACGCCGTTGTCGATAGATTTACATACGCATACAAAAGAACACGTAATACAAAACTCCCTATGTGCTTCGGAAAGAGATACTCCCACATGAGTTTCGGTGCGTGCGAGGTCTTTTGGTTAATTTTCGATCTTTTTCTTTTTTAAACGAATGTGGGATCATTGTCTACGCGTGACCACGACCACGACCACGAAACACGTGGGCGTAAACTGGTAAGGTCCGTAGAACATTAGCTTTAGCCCTTGAAATTTTATTACCCCATAGTACTACACTTATACAGTAAAATTAAGTTCTATATTAGGTATAGTAAAGTTAGGGAAAACCGCAAAAATAAATTGACAGAGGCATATTTATTTTAATTGACCTCTTTGACATTTTCTTTAAAATTGATATATATTAAAAATAATTGTGACAAATATAAATTGTCACATGAATTAGAATAAAAATATACAGATTTCAAAGTAAGAACATTATTATTATAATATAAATTTATTATTATAATATAAATTTATTATTATAATATACAGGTTTTATTATTTTACAGAAATCTAATACTGGTTAATTTAATATTAGCCAATTTATTACAAAAGATATTAATTAATAATATTAAGTAATTTTTGTACCGACCGTAAATCGTCAAACAAACAAGGAAAGAATAAACGCCTATAACGGTCAAAGCTGGATCAAAGTGCTAATAATAAGTATATGTGAATTTTTATATGCTACATATGTAGTCCCCCCATAATTGCGCGCTGAAACATTCAGACATATAACGCATAAATACTACAGTAGTATTATAATATCACCGATAAATACTTGATTAATTCCAAATTAAATATAAAGATGATAATTTAAATTCCGTAAATAAATCGGATCTTAATAATTTAATCTTTATATTACGAAAAATATCACAATGTTTTTTGGATATTAATTAATTACTTATTTGGAATAAAAATACTGAACAATAATGCTTTTCGTAATAAAATAAGTACAATTAATTATCATTTTTCAGCATTGGTTATTAATGGAAGTAACTCGTTACTTGTAACGAAGTTACAGTTACAAGTTACTTTTTTAGTAACTTTGCTGGTAACTGCGTTACTTTCTTTTTTTGGTAACTGTAACGGTAACGAGTTACATTATTTGTAACAAAAATTTGTCATTTATAATTATAATATTTCTAACGTAAACTGTGTTGAAAGCGCTTATTGATAAAAGTGTGGGTACTGATTAAAAAATAGAAGTTTCGACGTAATTCAACTGCCTTCCTATTCACATTTTTATCTTTAGAGGAATAAGAAATTGAATTAAAGTTTTTAAAATAAAAGATATTTAATGTGCGTGCGTGCTTGCGCATGTATGCGTTTGTGTATACAGTCTTGCAAAAATCGACATACATTTTATAAGGAATTCAAACGTAGTGCTATTTTACCAATATAATTTTTATTCTATTTCAATTAATCTAATATTAAAAAGTATAAATAAATTATGTAGGTGGAGCAATTAATTTCATTAATGATATTTAATTCAAATAATTTTCTCGCGGACGATCGGACAAGACGTGTACGATTCTCGCTCCTATAGAGACGATACATAAAATTAATAATTACCCTTTTGTTTTTGCACATCTGCTATACATTCTTCCCATGAATGAGACGCGTTTTCTAAAACCGACACTTTGTTACCTTAATCGAAATGAGTGTCCTCGAATAGCCGGTGAAAGATAGAATAAGGTTCGCAGGGCGCGGAAGTTGTTCCTCAAGTTGTACTGAACTCATTTTCCTGTCTTTGGCATATTTGTAAAGTTAAAATTTTTCGCGATAAATCATTAATTTGCAAAAATTATCTTTTTACAAAAGATAAAAAGTGTCGCCGATATTGACCCAGCAACATTGAGCCATCAATTGGTATGCCAATATTTGTCTAATATTGATTAAATAACTCATAACCCTTATAATGAATCGCTTCTTATTATTAGTATAATTAATACTAGCGTATAATTTTGTTTCTATCCGACCTCCTTTTTCTAAATATTAAGTTATAAGTAAATGGAGATCGAGGTCGAATAAATAGCTTTGTCATTATCCTATATTATTCTAGCTTAATTAACAAGTATAATGTATAATTTTATTTCCGTTTGATTTCTTTTTGTTAAATATTAATTATAAACGAACAGAGATTAATAATGAATAAATCACTTATCATTTTCTAGTTTAGTTAAAACATATAATTTCGTTTTTATCCAATATCTTTTTGTTAAATATTAAGTTGTGTAAAACAGGAGGAGTAGGTTGTAAGAGCGCGCGATATTAGGTTCGAGCGGCGAACTCGTGAACGTAGAGGCGCTGCGCATGTCGAGCGAGTGAGTGTGTGAGGAGAAACAGAGAGACAGTGGAGACGAGAGGCATACGAGTTTT